ATATTGAAGTGAGATTGTTTTGGTTTTGAGTTTCTAGAACCAGTGCAGTAATTGAAAAGCAGTAACTAAAGCAGCAGTTTCCAAACCTGGTCCTCAGGGTCTAGAATCCAGCAGGTCTCTACCCCTGGAATAAGGGTTGTATCGGTCCAAATTAGGTGTAATTGGACCTGTTTATCCCTCTTCAACAGCCTCAAGATGATGTCGGTCTAAAAAGACACAAGGAAACCTGCTGCATTCAAACTGAGACCCCCTGGTCTAAGGTAGTGAGGGGAAACTCAGATTTCTGTCATGATCACTCTGGGGTCCTGAGGTAGCCTCAAGGCTCCGAGCCCCTCAGAAACAACGCAGATAACAAGAAACTGCAAAACTGAAATTCTGTTTGTCCTACACAGGAGTCTCAGAACACCATCCTCACATCATCTCCCTCAGTCAGACTCACAAGGTGGAGATCAGTCCTGCATCTTCATCCGAAAGGAAGAACGGCCTGGAATTCACGGATGCACTCATGGATATAATCTCGGCAAGCAGGCAAATCCTCGCACAAGCCTTTCACTCGCTCACACACAGATGCACATAACTGTCTCTCTCACATACACTCCTGCAGTATTTTCTACACTTTTAGATTTAGATGAAAAGCCATGTGGTTTATTGAAACCCCAGTTTTAATGGTGGGTCACCCCCACTTTGTCCGTTCATCAGGAGTTACTATCTTTTCATGCACACAGAGGAAATGGAACAGCGAATCCCAGGAAGACTATCTTACCGGTAAAATCACTTCAAAGTGATGAATAAAAAATGAATCCATCTGACTGAATAGCAAACTAAAGTGCTCTATTTAAAACTCATTCTTTTCCTTTGTCTTCTCTTTTCCCGTCTCCTTTTTACAACATCAAGGATGAGTCCTGCACCTCCATCCACTCATTTATTCCATCCAATTCAGGGCCGTTGGAGAGCCAGAGCTGGCAAGCAACAGGCACAGGGCAGGACACACACAGATTCACACTCACACCAGGCCCAATTTCCCCAAAATGCCAGTTAAGCTGCCAGTATGTTTTTGGACTGTGTGACATGAATATGGAGAGAACATACAAACTCCACCCAGACAGCACCCCAGGTCTGGAACTGGACCCAGGGACCCAGCCCTGTGAGGCAGCAGTGCTAACTCCATCTGATCCTATGTGCTTCCAGAACAGGCTCTGGGTTGCTGCTATCCTCATCAGCAGTCTCCAGATAATGGCAGGATGGATGATATTTGGTTTATTAGCTGAGTAAGTAAGCTCAGTAAAATGTCCCTTGAAAGAAGGATGCATTAAATGTAATAGACAGCAAGCATAACAACACAGTCAGTGATAATTGATGAATGCAATTTATGCTGACATTCATGTATAAATAGCAACACAGCGCTCTTTGATTTGAATACAAGGGACAGCTTCAGCGGTGTTATGAACACGCGCTCCTCTTTCTTCACTCTTATTTGTCTGCTAGCACGCTGGCCCAGTTTTATGCACAATCATTTCGTTTCATCACACTTTGGAGGAGACGGTCGACGGTATGCGTCTCACGTCTGCACCCGAATCAGTGCTGTATCGAGGCGCTCCCCTGTTCTTTGCATGCTCATTTGCATGTAAATGTCTCAGTGTTTGCAATGAGCGAAGAGGGTGTGAGCTGGTCTTTGCAGGGGGTTGCAGTACTTCGCATTTGCAGAACTCAGGAAGCAGATGAAATGCAGATGTCTGTGTTTTGCTCTTTATTTTTTAGATACTCGATAGTCTTCAAAAAATATGTAATGCACTGTGAGGTTTTGCAATTCAGGAGTTTCATATGATTCCTTTACCCAATCCCACACCCCACAAAATGAAGGCGGAGGGTACTTTTAGAGGCATCAACTGCTACCAGCAGCAGAGATGAATATTGTCTTTTACTTTTGTTGCTTATTTTGAAACATGATTCTCAGCAGATCCTTTGAAGCTTGGTATTGCATAAAAGTATGGATGCTTTTATTCTATGTCTCAAGTCATTGTGCAACCCGCGAATACTTGAGATAGAAGAAAACTGGCTAAATTGAGTTTACCTCATAGTACAGGGATGAGCATTCCTGGTGCTGGAGGGCAGGTGTCCATCCCAGCTCCTAAATCAGCTCATTATTAGTTTATCCAGTTTAACTGCTTCTTCCAGTTCATCAGCTGCTTTGAAAAGACCTAGAAATCCTGCAGACAGACTGGCCCTCCAGCACCAGGAGAGCCCACCCCTGATATATTAAGATAGCGTAAGTGAACTTTGTCTCAGGGATGAGTCAACACCTTCATGGACCATCATAGGGAGATATTGGGCTACTCTGGAAAATGTCACCATCATTTGCAGACATTAATAATAATTGCTTACACTTATATAGCGCTTTTCTGGACACTCCACTCAAAGCGCTGTACAGGTAATAAGGACGTGTAGTTTTGGGGTGAAGACCTCTGTTTGCAATTTTAGAGAGATTTTTTTTTTAAATCAGGGTGATGCTTTAGAATTCAATGCACAAGAATGCACACAATTCAGAATGACCTTGTGTCCATTAAACCCTTCAGTAGCGACACTGTGATCTCTGAAAAGCCCGAGATGAAACAGTGGCAGACGTCACTGCAAAATAGGCATCTGTGTGCATACGTGCACAGACGCAGATCAAGGACTTCTCATTAAAACGCTTCTATTAAACATTCAGGTGACCTGGAGTGAGCCTTTGCTGTGTGTGTTGGCATGCCGCTGGTTGTGATGGCTTTTCCTCTGTAAATAAACGAGCAGCGCTGGAGGAGAGAGACTGTGGTTGCACAGCGGACTGATAAGGGGCTTCAGAGAAGGGTGTTATGCTAATTTGAGGGGAAGAGGATGATATATTTCAAAGGCTTTGTTGCTGCTTTGCCGGGCTGGCTGTCTAATCCCACGCGTTTCTGTGTGCTGTTGTATCTCGACAGTGCTACACAGAGCACACGCACACACATGACAGGGGCTTTAATTAGAAACTGCGCCATTCCACCAGCCCGTGCTGGAGGAGGC